CAGAGGAACGCACTGCCAGTCCTTGGCCATTCTCATCGTCATTGGGAGGTTTGTGCCCGTTATTGCAGCCACTGGGTGAATCCATCTAATTGAGGGGCTTTCTCTTTTTGGCTGACCCTCTACTTTACATACGTGATGTCCTCTTCCAGGATTGGTTCCTCCTGTTAACATGTCCAATCTATAAGAGATGAAGTCTTGCCCGCCTCACTTCTAAGGAATGTTCACCAACCACAGCTCTAAATCCAATAGTTGGGACAGGGTAAAGAGTAAGCACTCTAATAAGGAATGCTCCTTGTGTGCAGGGATATAGGAAGTCTAAAACTGAACTTCAAAGATATAATTAAAATTCCTAAATGCTTCATGGAGACAATGATCATGTAAACGTGGCTAATGACTGGGGCCCTGGCATAAGACCCCCTAGGGTTGTGATTCTTTCTTTTGATTGGCTGGTCCAAACAACGGGCCAACAGGCATTAGGCATAGGGAATGGCTTTTTAGGTATCCTAAGAGGTAAACAGTCTCAGAAACCCTATGTAACGTCTCATGAGTTGGAACAAATTTGATGGCCTTGTGTTTGATTTGGTTTTAAAAGGTAAATGTAAACCAAACATTACCAGAAGAGTAGGACATTGGACAAATTACTCAGCCTGTTTACTTATTCATAAAGTGGGGATAATAATATATTTTTGAGGTTGGGAAGTCAATACATTTTTGTTAAAGGATATGTGTTGTATAGTTCACCTCTTTGGGACCAAAAACCAACCAACCAACCAACAGACCAGTTGCTTTTGAATTGATTCTGACCAATGGCAATTCCCTAGGAGCCGAAGTACTCTATAGGCTTCTCCGGAGCAGATGGATACATCCCTGGGTGGGTTCTAATGGCCAGCCTTTCAGTTCACAGTCAATACATGGATTGTGTCACTCAAGGACTCCAAGAACCCTGGCACATTCCTAATGGCCATTGCCCCGTTGTTCACGCCATCGCTTCCCCAGAATCTCCACCCTTCTCTGTCTCTACACCGCCATCTCTGAGCCTGCACGTCTTCCTTCTCCGATGATGTGATCTCACAAAACCTTTTTGCCACTTGCTTTCATGTTGGGGCAACCCAGGAATCTCTGTAGCGGCCTCAATTTAAGATCTAATAACAATAGTAGCAAGTGAATCACAGCGATAGTATCTATAATATTTAATGTACTGTCACCGATCCTTTTAAATTAATTTTGAATTAATAAAGGACTTCATTAATATTAATTGAATTAATAAAGAACTTCATTGAATTAATATAAGGACTTCATTTTTAAAAATGCAAAGAGCAAATATTGAAAAATAAATTTCGTGGAGCACCCTCCTCTTTCAGTGAACCTCTACTTAAAACATGAGGGCCTTCTCCAGGGACCAGTTCTCCAGATAACATATCCAAAGTTCATAAAATGATGTCCTGCCTTCCTGGCATTCTGGCATGTTCTTCCTTTGGGTTTTGTCACCTCTGGGTTTTTTCATATTTCGTTATAATATCCTACTGGATTCTCCAGCCACTCTCTGACCCTGTTCAGCCCTTCTCCATGCTCGTTATTCCACCCATTTAAGCTGAGGTCATTGAGGAGCACGTTTCAGGGTCTCTTCTGGCATCCATTTTGATCTTTTATTTGTTTCCTGTCTTTTTAATAACCGTTTTCTTTCTCCATGTGTGAGGTTCTTGATCCCACCACACTGAGTGCGTAATGTCATTCCATCATACACTCTACATGAATTATGTATCTAGTGTTTTATAAGAGGAAAAGGACAGGTACAGAAAGGTCACACATGCAGAATCCAGAAACACAAGGACAGATTTAGCTCCCCTACAACCAATAGAGGAAGCCTACTTCTGCTGATAACTTTTTTT